ACAACAACAGACTGTCATACAACAACAGAGTGTCATACAACAACAGAGTGTCATACAACAGACTGTCATACAACACCAGACTGTCATACAACAACAGACTGTCATACAACAACAGACTGTCATACAACAACAGACTGTCATACAACAACAGAGTGTCATACAACAACAGAGTGTCTTCAGTCAGAGGCTTCTTCAAATCCGTTGTAGGACAGACGCTACAAGAGATCCTTCCTGCCCACAGCATCAGCATCTATAACAACTCATTAATGAAACCAGGATGATGAGTTACAACAACATTTAATTTCCCTCTGGGATTAATAAAGTATTTTTGAATTGAATTATCAATTATCAGTTATCAGTTTTTAAATTTAATGAAAGACAAACCTTTAAAATTTAAGGACAAAATTTAATCTAATTGTTTTCAAGTCTGTATCTTATTGTAAAAGCAGTTTCAAAGATTACAGCACAGTGTGATGTTTTGCAGTTTTAACATGAACCTTGTGCATATCTGTAAATAATAAAAGTGAAGATATTTTAAATACATCTTTATTGTAAAAATCTATACTAAAATGTAAAACACATGGGTTTAAAGCAGCAGGAAGGCAGTAAGGTAGGATTATGAATCAGGTTTAAAAGTTACAGCTCATGAGGTACTCCATTAGAGCATGACATCTCTTCCACAACATCTTGTGACAAAGAGCTGAGTGGGTGGGGTGTCAGCTTCACTCAGCTGTGACAAAGTCTTCAGGGTGTTCTTCTTCTAGTGGTGGCTAGTAAGTAGATTAAGGGAGCACTACCACCACCAGGTGGTAAGACGAGTTGGATTCTGGTCCCCGCCTACAGAGCCGGTCCAGAAGTGTAAATGGAAACGCAACGAGACACGAGCCGATCTGAGCTGACCCGAACTGACCTGATCCGCACTGTGACAGTGGAAAAGGGGCACTATAATGCTGCATTAGGATTGATACCCAGCCACTTTCACACCAATCAGATGGGACCAGAGGGGCCTCATCTGTGAATTAGATTAACAAACACCTACTGTGAGGTGTGATCAGGTCAGTCTGCATCTGTATGTGTATCTTATCTCAGCTTTATAACCTGAACCCCACACTCACTGCTCTTTGAATTGAAAGCTCCTCGGATGAGAAGTGAAAGGTCTTTTGTTAGTCCAGTTGTTTTTGAATTTACCATGTCCTGGATGACTGAGAATCTTCAGCGTAGTCTGAAGGAGCTGCGTTGTAATTCTGGGAACAGGAATGTGGAATTGCCTCGATATCGACATAAAAATTTATAAAACAATTTATATATTTAAAAAGATGATGAAGGTAAAGGTGTTGGGAAGGTGTGGTGCCAGGTGAAGGATGCCTCATGGTTTTTTTGTTTTTAGTTTGGAGCTTGTTCAAGCGTAGGTTGTTGATTGTTTGTAGTTATTTTATACTTTTTTAAATAAAGGGCAGATATAAGAACTGTTTTCTTCTTTTTGCAGACTTTTCATTCAATGTTTTTTCTTTTTTGATGAATTGGTTTTGTTTAGGGGCAGCACGGTGGTGCAACTGGTAGAGCTGCTGCCTCTCAGCGAGCAGGTCCCTGGTTCAAACCCCGGTCCAGGGGCCTTTCTGGGTGGAGTTTGCATGTTCTCTCTGTGCATGCGTGGGTTTTCTCTGGGTGCTCCAGTTTCCTCCCACAGTCCAAAAACATGCATGTTAGGCTGATTGGTAACTCTAAATTGTCCCTAGGTGTGAGTGAGAGAGTGAATGGTTGTTTGTCTCTATGTGTCCCTGTGATGGACTGGAGACTCGTCCAGGGTGTACCCCGCCCCTCGCACAGTGATTGCTGGACATGGGCACCAGCGACCCCCGTGACCCAAAATGGAATAAGCGGGTAAAGAAAATGGATGGATGGTTTTGTTTAGTTTGTTTCTTTTAACTGAATGAATAAATAAATAATACATATTTAATAATAAAATGTTTTTAAGAATCATTTCCACCCTCCGTCCCAGACCCGTCCCGGTCTGCCCGTATGTCGGGGGTCGGCCTTCATGAGCACGCGAGGCCATGGTCCGGACCCTGGCCTTCAGCGTGTCGGCAGCTTGTATGATCCTCCACAGTGATCGGCGGAGCTCGGAGCCGGGGAGATGATGGCCTGAGGGGGCTCCGAGGCTCCGGTGGAGAGGACCGGTGGGGCTCCATCTAGCTCGCTCTGAATTTTGTTGTCAGCCACCAAGCACAAAAAACATCTGCACTTCAGCATTAGACCACAGAGTTGTCATTATTGGTTTTAAAATCTTTAAAATAGGTCCAGCCGCTCCTCGAGTTGAATTATTGCAAATGGTGAATCTGGTGTGAAAAATTCTCAAAGCCCTAGTGGCTCCACCCCCTGACCACTCAGTGACGGAGAGCGTTCTGACGTTACATTTTGGTGCCGGTTCGGCCCTGCTGGAACCCCAGAGACAAGGGTACTGAAAAAAGGGTCCGGTTCTATGAACCGTTACTAGTGGAAAAGCCTTGGACCCATGCCAAGTCAAGTCGAACCGTGCTGTACCGGTACTAGTGGAAAAGGGGTATTGGTCTCTCTAAACTCAGGGTTAGCATACACTGTCTGAAGCCTCACCCCACCCAACAAAACAAAGTTGGAAAACCAAATGTAGCCAAGTAACCAAGTGTGTGTGTGTGTGTGTGTGTGTGTGTGGGGGGGGGGGGGGGGGGGGGGGGGGGGGGGGGGTGGTCACTGCGATTCTTACATGTCGACTGGCTGACTGCATGTCAGTGCTGTTCGTTATGTTGCGTAGGGTTCTAATGGCTTGGTTCCATCCTGGCACACCATCTGGACCTGATCCACCTAAAACAGAGAAATTAAACCTTTCATTATAAGTTTCTGACGGTGTTCTTTTTTTTCCATTCAACCTTTATTTCTACAGGTAAATCCCATTGAGCCTCGAGGACTCATTTACAAGAGAGACCTGATTTAACAAAGAAAGATGACAACAATGGACAACAGCAACAACAATAAACAGTTATTAAAAGTCATACAAATTATTTTTTTTTTACAAATAGGATGGCTAAAAAAAAAGAAAAGTAACAAAAAACAGCTAGATTTTAAGGCGAGTGTAGAAAAGTAAAAACAGGAACATGTCTGCATTGGTCCCTGCCAGGAGTCCAACAGATTCTTAAAGACACTTAGAGAGGTCAAAGGTCAAAAGCTTCAAATCTTTTTACAAGATATTCCAGGAAACAGGAGCGGAGTAGGAGAAGGCCCTTTTGTCTAGTTCAGTCCTCACTGAGGGAACACTGCAGGTAATAATGTCCTGAGAGCGCACGCTGTAGCTGCACTCACGCAGAGACATGTAGGAGGAGATGTATGAAGGCAGCAGACCAAGAAGTGATTT